TTTCTCTGATGTGAAAGAGTTTTTGAAAACCAAGATTTTGGTTGCAAATACCACTTTATTTGCAAGTTTCCTTTTCCTCTACCATAGTGACATCTTGACACTGTTTATGAGAATTCTGTATTGAATGCTTTTCCCTTGGTTAATTTTTCCTTTGCAGTGCAGTACCAATAAAATAAGAACAGTTTGTTTTGTTTTGTTCATTTTGCATATCAGTAAATGTAGAATCCACTCCACAAAAATACATTATTTTGTTTTTGAGTTTTTCCATGCACTATCGAAAAACATTTATTGAATTCTGTTTATTTTTTTGTCTGAACTTTTGTGTTGTGATTTAGTAAAATACACTTGAGAAATTTCTAACTTTTGTAATAATGAAACATCTTCTTGGTTTTTTTTTTTTTTTTTTTTGAAGATGGGATAGAGTAAAGAAATGTTTGAGAGGATTAACGTTTCCCCCTGGTCTTTGTATTTTTTAGGATTGGGTATTTTCGTATAAAATTTCTCAGTTGAACCTTAGTTCTTGTTCATATGTAGAACTCTTGTTTCTCAAGGATTCCTAATAATTTGTATCACTGGCAAGAAACCAATTAAACTACTGTAATGCCCCTTTATTTCTGCCCAGCTACCTTAAATCCTTCCTGGAATAAATCTTCAGTGTGAATAAAAACCATCTGTAATTTCTAAGATTTGGATCTAGAAAGCCTTATCAGTTGGGAAATAATGGAATATAATCTAATGTTTACTGTATAAAGTGGCATGAAATAAGATGACCACTCATTCCTAATAGCTGTGTATCTTCTACAAGTATGGGGGTGGGGGGGAGCTGTTGGAAAGGCATCCTTTTGATATAAATATGTTATGCTACCCATAACATCTTGGTGTTATGCTGTCCTTTCAGTTTAATGCATTCAGATTTATTATGAATTACAGTGGAGAAATTAGAGAATCAAGAGGAAAGTTCAGGTAGGGTAGCAAGAACTTAAAATACCCTGAATAAAAATTCCTAAATAATTCAGATGTTGTCTCCATTGCCACTTCCCTAATTCAAAGTACTATCATACTCTTGCCTAGACTTAAGTATTTTCCTAAGTCTTCCCAAGACTGCAATTACTGCCTTCCCCAGTATTAGCAAAACCAGTGGTCCATTGAATACTGTGAAATCTCATTGTGTCGCTTCCTGCTAAAAACCTCTAAAGAGCTCCCATTGCTCTTAAAGTGGCTTATATATTAGGCCTTATGTAACCTGGCCCCTACCTTCGTTTACTTCCTCCAAATCCTTTGAGGTCCCTCCATCCACAGGAGGATCATTTATTGCCATGTGCTGATACATTATTTCTCTACAGGTTGGTTTAGTAATCTCAGATCTCAGCTCCAGGTCACCTCCTTCGGTATCTATCCGTTAGGATAGGTCTGTTACATTCTCCCATAACATAACTTTTTAGCAATTACTGTTACAAACTTCCATCTCATTTATTTATTTGCTTAGTCTTTACCATGTGATTTTTGGGTCCAAGTACCTTTGGCATTTGAGCTTAATTTCTTATTTGTTGAATAAATGGGTACATTATTGGCCTGTTAATTTATTCCTGTATCTCTAGTTCAGTGTATACCGAGTTGTGTTTAAAGATTAAGAGCATATGGGGCGCCTGGGTGGCGCAGTCGGTTAAGCGTCCAACTTCAGCCAGGTCACCATCTCGCGGTCCGTGAGTTCGAGCCCCGCGTCAGGCTCTGGGCTGATGGCTCAGAGCCAGGAGCCTGTTTCCGATTCTGTGTCTCCCTCTCTCTCTGCCCCTCCCCCGTTCATGCTCTGTCTCTCTCTGTCCCAAAAATAAATAAACGTTGGAAAAAAAAAATTAAAAAAAAAAAAGATTAAGAGCATAAATCCCATTATAATTTAGAGTTACAGGACAATAGTGGTATTTCCATCAAATTTTTTTACCATGTGGTTACATGTGATTAGACACGTCACTTAACTACTAGACCTCACTTTTGTCATTTGTAGAAGGAACTAGTTGATATGTAAGCTTGCCTCTGACTCAGATGTTCAGTGGTGTTAATGGTTTCCCTTCATCAGATGGGACAAAGATTGATTTCTAGCTTCATTGTCCATTAGGTTGATTTGGAGGTTCTGTTCCACATGACTCCAACTCTGGGATTCAGCTGAAAGAGCAGCCTCCATCCTCAATTTGGCTGGACGCTGTGATAGAGGAAAGAGCTCTGGAAGATCTCTTATCTTGGATCTTAATGCTCTGGCTGAAAATTACATGTCACATAGGCTCACAGCTCATTGGCCAGAAGGAGCCACATGGTTCCACCTAACTATAAAAGGGCCAGTACGTACAGCCCTACCATATGACCAGAAGGCAAAGAAAAAAATATCCGGCAAACAACACTAATGACAGATATACCCTTCTCATCAACCAAAGATTTGAATCACTGTCTTTAAAGCAAAATATACTCTTTTCCTCTCCCAGTGAACCCACCCAAAAGTCCTAGCTAAACTGCGTCAAGCTTGAAGTCTTAGGATTTCCAGGTGATGTACATAATTCTCTGCATCCAGTTTGGATGTGTTTTTTTTCTTGATCTGGAAACGTGTGAATGAAAATACTATCTCCGTCACTGCCTGCTACCACCCCCCAAACCCCGGCTCCGCCCCCCCACTGTAAATACACCCAGTATACATCAGAATAACAGGGGTATGATAACCACAATAAACACTCCCATTTGGATAATGAGAGGAAAACATAGCACTCCCTAATCCAAAGCAACTCAAAAATCTCACCAGGCTGACTTTTAAAAGGGTCCCTTTCCTCTGGATATGGGGAATATTCTTATTCGGGTACTAAATCTGCTCTTCTGGAAGGTCTCCGCAGTCCATTGTTTGTTGTGACTCTTGGTATTCTTTAATTCTCCATCATCTTCCCTAGCCTCATCTGAAGTAGGTATTAGAAAATATTAGGGGAGGTAATGCAAGTATACGTCTAAATCAATCAGATTTTAATATGGGCTTTTGATTTTTGTTAATTGGCAGCACAACTTTGTAGTAGGCTTCTAATGTGTTTTCATTTAAACTCAGTATGCTAGTAGCCTGTATTCATAGTTCTTTATCAGATGCCAGTCTCCTAATTGCTAGTAGCATAAACCTATTAACTTTTGCTGGAAAAGCTACACCCTTAATGTCCTTTCTTTTTCCTCAGAGCTGTTTTGTTCAACTGAAAGCATTAACACAGTTTTAATTGGGTCTCTGCTTTTGAGACTGTAATCAGTTCAAGTGTTTTACTCTGATCTGAAACTTACCCTCAAGGTCTGCTGCTCTTCCTTTGTTAGTCAATAGCCTTCTTAATTTTTACTTATGACTCAGATTGAGAAACATTCTTCAAATACTACAAGTCCCTGTCATTCTTGTTTTACAAACTAATCCGTTTTTTAAATTTGTTACTTACAATACTGAACACAGAGCAACCAGAACACCATTTTGGTGTTGTTTTTTAAACCTCTTCTCCTAAAACTACAGCTTTATTAAGTACATTATTTGCTTTTCAAACTATAACTGCCTTTTATTTCAAATAATTTGTACTCCCTAATACGGATTATCATCCTTCCATCCTCTGAGAAGTGTCCTTCCTGCTTGGCCCCCAAACTAATGGAATATATTTTAGTCTTTGTGTTACAACAGTATCCCACTTCTGGAACCAATTTATATCAGGATCAACTGGGTTCTGATGTGATAAGAAGCAACTTCAAAAGTTTATTTCTTGTTTTATGTAACATTTTTTCATGGATCAGGTGGGGAACTAGGCAGATGCAGCAGTCAACATCTCAAGTATGGTGACAAGGAGATTTCGAGTGTTTCACCAGCAGCAAAATACTCTGGCCTAGATGCAGTAAGTCACTTTGATTCACAACTCATTGGCCAGAATTAGGCACCTAGTCCCACCAGCCACAGGAGAGCCAGAAAGCACAATATTACTGTGTGCTGGGAGGCAGCCAGGAATAATTTGATGAACAGAACTAAGGGCTATCCATTACACTTTCCGTATTTCTCTTTGTGTGTTGGGAAAAGAGGATGAAGAAAGGAGGGTATTTGAAGACATTTGTGAAGACATAAAAGGTATACCTTCAGTAAGCTATGTTCTGAACCTAAGGTTTTTAACCTGTCCTCCTTTAGTCCATTTAAATCATAAGTTTTGCATTCTTACCATGGTTTGGTGAGATTATAATATAAATATCTCACTTACTAGAAGGTATACTTTGGTTGGCATCATCAGATTGAGATAAGTGTAAATTTCTAATTAAGTACAGGTGTTTAACATCAGCCCTTTGGTGGCATTTATTACTGGAAAATTCGCCTTTATGGGGTTAAAAAAAATTGGCAGTGTCTGCCATAGTTTCCTTCTTTAAAATGGGATCATGAAAGTATATTACTTTTGTTTAGGTATAGAAGAGTCAGAGTTTTATTCTGACCAAATTTAATGCAGCTTCTAAGATAAAACTTACAAGCATGATTTAATGCTTTTGTAGGAAACTTGTCTTAAATATTATCTCGAAGCTTTATTTAGTTATTTCATCTCTTTCTGCTATGAAATAAGAGAATTCATGTAATGTTTATATAAGCGTAAAGACCTTTGCAAGAAAGAATATAATTTCCCTTCTCTTATGAATATAAATACCAACTAAATAGAGAATAATTCAAATGTGAAGATTAAATCTAAAACTACTGTAGGTATGTTGTTCAAGTTTTGCAACCATTTGCCCTTCCCAAATACAAGTTACGCATTTTTGGGGCGCCTGGGTGGCGCAGTCGGTTAAGCATCCGACTTCAGCCAGGTCACGATCTCGCGGTCCGTGAGTTCGAGCCCCGCGTCAGGCACTGGGCTGATGGCTCGGAGCCTGGAGCCTGTTTCCGATTCTGTGTTTCCCTCTCTCTCTGCCCCTCCCCCGTTCATGCTCTGTCTCTCTCTGTCCCAAAAAAAAAAAAAAAAAAAAAAAAGTTGAATAAAAAGTTACGCATTTTTCTCTTTATAGGAAAGAGGAAACCAAATTTATTTCAGGTAGCATAAATTAGTTTTAAAATGTTCCAGTGAGTTATCTCATATCCATTGTAGGATAAGATGTGTGGTGAAAATAATCTTTGAAGTGAATTACTGCCATGAATTTAACTTGATCAGGAAAGCTGAGAGAACAGGGCTTCCTTATGACTGTAGTGCAGGTTTTTTTTTTCTTTTGTACTTTAGAGTGTATAGAGTTCTCGTTCTTTTGTAAAAGCTGAAAAAGTGAGTGGAGTTACTATAGTAATGTGCCTGGGTTTGTCATATAAAGTTCTTGAAGTTTACAGTGAGTGAGATTTGACAGTCTTTGGAGGTTAGGATTGTTTTTAACAATGACAGACTGCCAATAAAAATTAAGAGGTTTAGGGGCGCCTGGGTGGCGCAGTCGGTTAAGCGTCCGACTTCAACCAGGTCACGATCTCACGGTCTGTGAGTTCGAGCCCCGCGTCAGGCTCTGGGCTGATGGCTCAGAGCCTGGAGCCTGTTTCCGATTCTGTGTCTCCCTCTCTCTCTGCCCCTCCCCTGTTCATGCTCTGTCTCTCTCTGTCCCAAAAATAAATAAACGTTGAAAAAAAAAATAAAAAAAAAAATTAAGAGGTTTAAAATGTCCTTATTTATGGGATTAGTTAGGAGAAAGGACATCATTTAAGAAAACAGGTAAATTTGAACTTAGTCTTATCAACTTATTGATTCACATATAGCTACAGTAAAACAGTGTCTATTAATAACTTAGCCATTTATTGAAATTTTCTGTTACAATAATACACCAGTTTTATAGACACAATTTCACTTAATCCTCAATGCAGTTTTTATAAATTAGCATTTTCTGCCCTTTAATGATAAGGAAAAAAAGGTTAAGTTGGTATCATTATTTATATTATTAGAAGCTAGTAAGTATGTGCTAGGTGCTATGCTAAAAGGTTACCTGCATTTCTTTCCTCATTTTATCTTTATAATGGCAGTTACCTCATTTTACTAAAAAGAAAATTTAGGGTTAAAGAAGTTAAGTCACAGTTAGTTTAAGTGACACAATTGGAATTCCAATCCAGGTTTCTGACATCAAAGTGTGTGCTTTTAAATAGTATACCTTGTAAATGTTTTCCTATTTGATAAAGGGTATTCTAATAAAAAATTAATATTAAAATCAAATTTTATTTCCACACAATATGTTTTGTCATTTATAAGAAGATAATTTATGACACAAAATAACATTAAATTAAAATAATTTGGGATTAAAAATACTTATTTTCATCCACCACTGTGTTTAAATAAAGGGGGAGTGAGTTTGAGTAAGTAAAGGAAACAAACATATAATTTAAAAAGAAGGTTTTGAGACTATCAGAGCACATTTTATTTTTTAGCTACTACAAGACACAGCTTTCAGAAATTATCACACTGGGAGTTTAATGGTTTTGGTGAAACCAAGGGACTTGGTATTAGTTAAGAAAAGAAAATTTGTGAGATTAGTTTTAGTGTATGAACTTCCTATACTTTCTTTGTATACTAGCCACGTTATAGTGTTTTCCACAGTTACCTTAAACATGCACAAACTTATTAGCATTCACACAAACCCTGAAAGTTTATACTTTTGATAGGTAAAACAAAATATTAATAAGAACAATATAACAGCAGCTAAGTCTTGCTACATTGACTTGCAGAAAAATACAAGAGATAAATCTGTTATTTTTGATGGAAGAACAAGTTTCTAACGAGTCTGTTTCATCCTTCTTACATCCTTATCTCTCTAGGGTGGTAAATCACTTATTATCCTCTTGACTTCTTTTATGGTAGATTATATAATAATACCTAAATAAAATACTTTAAAGCCAAAATGAACTCCTTCCCAATTAGCTGTTAATTCAAAGCTTATTCTCTTTTTGGAGGAAATCTCATATACTATTTATTTCCGTAAAGAAATTACTTTGTTTCCACATTTGGTAAATGTGGTATCAGAGATATAATAAAGTGTCCAGTATAGTAAAAATTTTAGTGTAAAATAAGTATAAATTTTAATATATTTCTATTGTCTATTTAGCAAGGTAAAACAATGCTTATTAAATTTTTTTTTTCAACGTTTATTTATTTTTGGGACAGAGAGAGACAGAGCATGAACGGGGGAGGGGCAGAGAGAGAGGGAGACACAGAATCGGAAACAGGCTCCAGGCTCTGAGCATCAGCCCAGAGCCCGATGCGGGGCTCGAACTCACGGACCGCGAGATCGTGACCTGGCTGAAGTCGGACGCTTAACCGACTGCGCCACCCAGGCGCCCCAAAACAATGCTTATTAAAAGAAAACATACTTTATACTTTACTGTGGACCTGTATGTATGTAGGGATGATAGATGATTAAGAGTAGTTACACAGGAAACATAACGTACCTGGTCTTGGTTCTCCTAGGACTTAATCTTGCTCTGCTCCATCCTTCCTATCCATGTTGCCTGGGTACTACCAGCAGTTAAGCTTTTTGAGCATTAATTTAGTAAAACACCTCAAAGAGAATCCTGTAAGAGAAGTTGGGGAATTGCTGTTATTTCCTTATCTGGTTGTAGCTTTCCATTGATCCTTGTAGCCATGATGCTGTTGTTCATCTCTTCATCTGTTTAAAGTCCTTTCTGCTTCTCTCTTAGTATTCTGAGTCCTCCCCTGAGTACCAGCCAGAACGCAACCGTACATGGGGAAGGCAAAAGAAGACAAGAAGGAGGAATTAAGGCACAGTAGAAAGACCATGGGGTTCTGGAGTCAGACCTTAATCCAAATCCTTCTTCCACCACTTCGGGCAAGTGACTTAATCTTACTGAGTTTCACTTTCCCTGTAAAATAGGTATAGTACTACATTTTAAGAATGAAGGTTAAGTATCTAATATAGGGTCTAAACATAGAGATAAAATTTTACTTAATAAACTTAACTTCCCCCTTCTTACTGTCATTTTCACCATGTAAATAGGGCATGCTTTCGTGTCTGTCAGTGATCCACCTTACCACAACCAGACTGCTAAATCTTCAATGTTTATTTATTTTTGGGACAGAGAGTCAGAGCATGAACGGGGGAGGGGCAGAGAGAGAGGGAGACACAGAATCGGAAACAGGCTCCAGGCTCTGAGCCATCAGCCCAGAGCCCGACGCGGGGCTCGAACTCACGGACCGCGAGATCGTGACCTGGCTGAAGTCGGACGCTTAACCGACTGTGCCACCCAGGCGCCCCATAGACTGCTAAATCTTCAAAAGTAAACAGTGTAAATAACTATACCAATATTAAGAGTCTCCAAATTTTATAAGAGTCAGATAGTAAATATTTTAGGCTTTGCAGTTCTTACAGTCTGTCACAACTACTCAGCTCTGCTATTGTAGGGCACAAGCAGCATGGGCAATATGTAAATGAATGAGTATGGCTATGTTCTACTAAAACTGTTTACAAAAACAGATGGTGAGCCAGATTTGCACCCCCCCCCCCCGGCTATTATTTTTCGACAACTGCTAGTCTGTACTACTGTCCATAAAAGGGAGTTCTATTGTCAGAGATTTCATGGTCTAAACACAGCCCCCCCCTTTTTAAAAACAGTGAAAAATACCTCAGTATGAGTTAACAGTGAAGTCATAAGGTTATGTTTCCCGAAATTGATAGACTTTCTTATTGTAGAAGAGAATGGTTTTTATATGCCACAGTTTAACATATAACTTTAATGCTTACCATACTTTTTAATATGATAATGCTTACCATACTTTTTAATACTGAAAATTAAAGGTTTGGTCCCACCAAACATTTAGATGAATTACACTAAACGGTCAGTAATAATTAGGATATATTGACTTCTGTATTACTCATTTGGAAAATCATAGTGCATTTTAGTATATGTAAAACCTGTGAAGATTCTTCTGTACAGAAACTGTTCATCATTATTTATCCCTGTCCATGCATTTCTCAAAATGAATCACACAACTCTTCACATAACACTTAATGCTGTCTCTAGAACTATTCAGAAGACAGTATTCTGATAATATCTAGTTTAGGTAAGGAAATTAAAGAGCCAGAAAACTTTCACTGACATGTGATCAGAGATAGTGCAGTTACTTGGCAGTAATTCTGGAAGAAGTACTTGTACCTCTTCCTCTGGATTTCGAGGAGTCTTGTTTTTCTCTTTCTTTTTACTCTTTTTTTTTTTTTAAGCTATTATTGGGAAATAATTTCAAGTTTACAAAAAAGTTGTAAGAGTAGTACACCCATACATACCAATTGTTAACATTTTGCCCAATTTGCTTTATTGTTTGCTTTTTCGTATGCTATCATGTGTTGTATGTGTTTGTATAACACATGCACATACATAATATATTTTTCCAAACCATGTGAGACCAAATTGTCTACGTCATGGTCCTTTATTCCTAAATATTTCAGTGGGTATTTAATCTTTTATGATACAGATAGTTTTTGAAGATTACAGTCTCTTTAATTTTTTTTTATTTTTAACAGAGGATCCCATTTTGAGTTTGATGTTTTCTCAATTAGATTCAGGTTTTGCACTCCCAGGTAGAATATTACATAAAGGATGTCATATTCTCATGGTATCACATCTGGAGGCACGTATACCTATCTGTCTCTCATTGATAATGTTAGTTTTGATCACCTAGTCAAGGTGTGGACCAGTCTCTCCACTGTATAGTTACATCTTGCATCTAATAAGCGATCTAATAAGCAACTGCATCTAATAAGCAATCTGAGGGGAATCTACATCTTTTGGGGAATTAATATAATGAAGTTGTTAAGAGTTCATACTAGAGTCACAGCTGGGTTTGAATCCAGCTAATTGAATGAACTTAGGCAAGTTTACTGATACGTGAAATAGGGATGATAGTTGCCACATCTTTTTCTGTGTGTGTATATAACATACATTGTTATGAGCTTTAAATGAAATAAGATATACCAAGGCCTGGCATGTAATAAATGTTCAGTACATGTTGGCTATTACTATTTTAGTTCTGGAAAGATGAATTAATAGACACAGTAATAAATTCTAAGGCTTTATACCCAAAGTTATAAAGGATTTCATGAAGTTGTTTCTTCTGAGTAGATTAATATTTTATCTGGGGCACCTAGGTGGCTCAGTCAGTTGAGTGTCCAGCTGTTAGCTCAGGTCTTAGTCTTAAAGGTCGTGAGTTCAAGCCCCACATTGGGCATCACGCTGGGCGTGAGCCTACTTTAAAAAAAAGATTAATATTTTATCCAAGATGAATGACTTTTTAAAAATATCTTATTATTGAGCTTGTTCTAATTCTTGGTATTCTTCCCTACCTATTGTGCTCTGTCCCTTCTGGTATGTGTGAGGCAGGTAGTTTAAGGGTGAAACCCCTATCAGGAAGTTTTTTTCTGAATTCTTACTTGCTTAGTTTTCAATTTCATGAAGATTTTAATTGAATTTTTATGAAATAGACATTTTAAAAATCACCTGTACCTATTTTCTATTCTACCACTATGAAAGTGTCATATAATAGCTGTAAGAGACTTTCTGAAAGAGGTAGATATCCTAGTAGAATTATAAGGAGTAGAGAGAGGTTTATTTTTTTATTTTTTTATTTTTTTTTTATTTTTTTTTATTTTTGTTTTTTCAACGTTTATTTATTTTTGGGACAGAGAGAGAGACAGAGAGAACATGAACGGGGGAGGGGCAGAGAGAGAGGGAGACACAGAATCGGAAACAGGCTCCAGGCTCTGAGCCATCAGCCCAGAGCCCGACGCGGGGCTCGAACTCACGGACCGCGAGATCGTGACCTGGCTGAAGTCGGACGCTTAACCGACTGCGCCACCCAGGCGCCCCAAGAGAGAGGTTTAAATGGACTTAAAGACAGGGAATATCACATAGGTATCACTAACAAGTTCTTTTAGGTGTTCCCTGTGGTTGGAGTGTGAAAATCGGTAAAAAGTAATAAAGTGTTAGACTGGAAGAATTAGCTAGAGCTAGATCATGAAGGACCCTGTTCGCCATGCCAAGAAGTTTGAATTTCCTCATGAAGGCAGTAGACAGCCAAGGGTTAAATGTCAGAGTGATGGGATCTAACTTTTAGAAAGGCCCCTGGCAGTAGCGTTAGAAGGGAATTAGAGGATAGTGATACTAGAAGTAAGAAGGCTAGTTGCTGCCTGAACTGTAACAATAGGATTAAAAAAAAACTGAATAATTTCTAGACATAAAATGAATGAGAAATCTATAGGATCTGATGGCCTTATTTGGAAATGGGGAAGTAGGAAGCAAGAGAGAGATGGAAAAATCAAGTCTCCTGACTTGCGTGACTAGATATATGATGGTGCAATTCACTGAATTAGGTATTACGAGAGCAAGAACAGATTTGGAGAGTCAGCAGGTGGGGATGTTCGTGTTCGTGTTCTGTGAGGTATGTCTGTGGAACGTATAGTAAGAGGTCTTTATACATGTGCCTAGAGTTTAGCAGAAATCTGGGCTAGAAATAAAGGTTTCGAATCGTGTCATCAGCATACAAATGGCAGTTAACGCCATGATCATGGATGAAATTGCAAGAGTGAATATGTACAAGGGCTAAGGACTAAATCTTGGCATAGCTTTTGTTTGTATTAGATTATATAAACACATTTAGTTTTAGACAAGTTTAAATTTGATTATTCAATACTGTTGATTTAGGGTAGTAACCTCCCAAAATGAGAAACACCGTTTGTATTTTATTTGACTTTGTGAGTTAAAAGGTATTAAATAATGAGAGATGACTAGCTAGCTCTCCAGGATATGTCAGAGGCTTAGAAGTCATCAGCATAGATTATAACCAGAAACAAGAGCTTTTTGAGCCTTTTTACACTTAATTTTTAGGGAAGCATTCCAATTAGATTGTCACTTCTGTGGGACGCCTGGGTGGCTCAGTTGGTTGGGCGACCGACTTTGGCTCAAGTCATGATCTCGCAGTTTGAGTTCGAGCCCCGTGTCAGCTCTGTGCTGACAGCTCAGAGCCTGGAGCCTACTTCAGATTCTGTGTCACCCCCTCCCCCCCGCCCCCTCTCATGCTCTGTGTCTCTTTGTCTCTCTATAATAAATAAACATTAAAAAAAATTTTAGATTATCACTTCTGTGAGAGTAGAAAGAAACTAATTTCAGTCCCTTCCCCTTCACATGCCAGTCAGCACATTGGCATGCAGGCTCTTAGTAAATACAGCACAAGCCAAGTCTAAAGGGATGTAAGGGGTACAAAAAGGAATGAGAAGGCAAGCATCAAAATTGAGCTTAGTTTTGTCTGGGGCTACCTTTGACCATGTTACGTAATACTTTATGTCCTGAATATTTTGTAAGAAATGGACTAAGTTGACACTATTTTACACCGCAGAGAAGAAACAACACTGGACTATTTTACATGTACCTTAGCAAAGGTCTCATTTTACTGTTTTATACTCTAGAAATAAAGTAATTTCAGAGTATCGATCTCTAAGTGGGAGAAGGGGTAGAGGGCTATAGTTTTATGTTCTTTTACCATTTATTCCTTGTAGAAAATGGTAGAATTGAATTGTTCTTTTTCATCCCAAATAATCCATATCTTCAACTATTTTAACTATTCACATGAGTATTTTAAATACAAAAGCCAAATGTGTTTAAGCCTTAATTTGTTTCTTTGCTTTTATGAAATTTAATCTTAGTTTTTTTATGAAGTCTGTTCCAAACCAGAACAGTTTGTGGACCTTAAATAATTGGCACAATTCACTGGCTCATTTATTCAATAAATATTTCTCCGGTATTTGTGTTAGGCACAGTTCTAGACCTATGGCAGAGCTAAGCAAAAAACAAATTCCTACCTTCATGGATCTTATATTTTAAGGAGAAGGAGATAAGACAACAAATAAAACAATAAGTAAATTCAGTAGTCTGCAAGGAGCTAAGTACTATAGGGGAAAACAAGAGGGTGGGATAAAGTGTTCTAGAGTTAAGAGATGAGAGAGATTTCATATTTTTTGCAACATTTTATTATGAAAATTTTCAAACATATACAGTGAAGTTTCAAGAATTTACAGTGGCGACCTGTATACCCACTAGCTAGTTTCTACTGTTAACATTTTACTCTATCTCCTATCCATCCATCTCCCCATCCATTTTTTGATGTATTTCAAAGGAAATTGCAGACATCAGTGCATGTTTTCCTAAATATTTCAACATACATGTCATTAACTACAGTTCAGTATTTACTGTTGTTTTCTTTTGAGGTAAAATTCACATACAAAGAAATTCACAAATAGTATATGCTAGCTGAATTTTGACAGCTCATATACTTTCATAACCCAACCCTCATCAAGATATGGAGCATTGTTACCATCATCCCTCAAAGTGTCTTCATTCCCCTTCCCAATTAATCCTTACCCCCACTCCCCAGAAACAAGTACTGTTTTGATTTTTTTTCACCGTAGATTAATTTTGGCTGTTTTAAAATTTCACATAAATGGACTCAAAGAATGTGGACTCTGTTTTATAAAGCTATTTTTACTCACCTCGGTGTTTTGGGGATTTACGCATATTGTTGCATGTATAAGTAGTTCCTTTTTGTTGCTGAGTATTATTCCACTACATTACTATACCGTGGTTTGTTCATCTGTCCTATTGATGGACATCTGGGTTGTGTCCACTTTGGAACTACTATGAATAAAACCATATGAATAGTCTTATTCACGTCTTGTTGTGGGCTTGTGTAAATTTAACCTATGAGTGAGATTACTGGGCATGTGGAATGGGTATGTTTGGTAAGATCTTCCATACCTTTTTCTCAG